GTTTCGGCGGATAGCTTTCTTCAGAGCCTGGAAAGATCATATTGATCCACAATCCACTAAGGCAAAACCTCCATAAACCTAACAGAAAACGTAAGAAACGAATTTTTGGATGCCATAGTAAAAAATTCATCACAAAAAGTCACTCACCGTTTTGATGTTTTGTGTCTATCAATCATTCATTGAAGACCAGCCGCTTAGGGTCAGTGCATCAGTGGGCTGTGCCTAACTCAGACCGGAAAGATCAGCCTGAGGTATGGTTCGAGGTCAAACGTAATTACGAGGCACTCCTCTTTTCGGTTCATTTTTGGGCACTTGCCATCTATCCAAAAGGCTTTTATATTGAAATGCACAATGTGATGAATTTGAGCTAACTACTTTACATGAGAAGTAATTGAGAAGTTCCTACATACATTTTTCACAGTCCGAATTTCTGCTGTGAAATAAATAATATTATAAGGTTTGGAATAGTAGCCGGAACTGATTTTACGGCAGCGCCGCACCGAAGTTTCGGCTAAAAATTCACTCATTTGCTTATCGAAAAGTAACCAAATCTCATCTGCAGGCATTCCCATTTTGAGTGTTCTGAAATTAATGCCAATGAATGTGCTTGCTTTTATAGATGTTACTCATATCCACAATGGAAGTTCATTAGTAGAAACAAAAATGAAAGCATTTGATATTGTAAACTGGTGATTTGCGCAAAGAGCTGCCTTCTGTCTCATGAAAATTTTCTAAAATTATGTATAATAATGAAGTCGTTTAAAAGATTGTGAACGCTTCCTTGCGAGAGATTCATTGGTTTTATTACATCTATTATACTGCAGTGTTTAAAAGCTGCAGAAACAAAAATAACTGATGAAATTTGAGTGCCTGTTCTAATGAATTTGAGTGGTAGTTGACAATGCTAGGCTAATCTATTATTCTCGGGATAAGTGATCTTCAAAGTATTAACTCTGAAAATGCCGGAGAGGATGGTGATGATAAATTCAATTGAAAGTTAAGTTCACTTTCATGATCACTATTTAAACACATAATTCGTATTCTTATAGTTTTCAAGACTAGTCGATTTCCTATCGAGCACAGATTATGTGGGCGGGCGAAGACCATAAGAGGGTGTCACATGAACTACTCACCTCAAATTCAGGAAAACCTGTTGGACGACTTCACTGTACTGAATATGCCATTGTACCGTCGAAAAACATTATCCACTTGTTCTTCGCCTTTTCTCCGGATACAAAATGGACTGAACTCTGAATTTGCTTGCATTTTTCTGGATTCCACTTTAAAGTTCAACGAACGTCCACATAGCTTGAATGAAATTTCACCTGTGGACCATCGCATCGAATAATGCGACACTAAAGACAGAGATGACGAGATATTAGCGAAATATTACATGTTACTAGACTAACTCAACCTCATTTCGGTCTGATAATGCAAGAAAATGATCAATTACGTATGCCTAGATCAGATCAAAGCCGACTTTTTTGGATATACTGGATGGACCCATGATTTCGTTGGCATTTCAACACTTCTGCTGATTCAGTTCTCAGTTATTTAACGAAATCAACAACTAGCAGTATAATCACTATCATTCTATATGATATTGAATATTATAGCCATGCATTCGTCTTCGATTTTTTAACTTCGTTTGAGGTGATCGCGTATATGCGAACATCGATCACATCGTTTTGAACAAGGCGAAATTAACTCAATGCTAATATCGTTCCATACTTTTGAATCTGATCACGACATTCTCCGTATAAATATTCCATTTAGGCAGGTGATGATCAAGAAACTGTCGTCGAGTGAAATGAGCAATCCGCATGAAACGAATCCGTTTTCAGCCATGCCATATATATCATGGCTGACACAAAATTGAGGATCCGACGCAAAAATGCGAGAAGCTGCTAGAAGTTTTCTGATGTTGTTTTCTGTGAAATCTTCTCAGTTCCAAGATAAATTCTGTACGCTGACCAAGCGTGACCAAACATCATAAAGAAATGAAGCCTTTGCTCCAGATTTCTAGTAATTTTACTGCTCTCATCGCAGTGTTAGATGTTTCACATATATCTAAGAGAATTAAGTGGTGAGCAAAAACACGGCCTCAAGAGGGAATTGAACCGGCGTTGTATTCTTACCGAAGACGCGTGGTACCACTACACCACCGGGGTACTTTTCTCTCAGGTATATGTAAAGTCTTTGCGCTAAATTGCATCTGCTGCCTTCTGCTATACTCATAATAAAAATGGTTTCCAACACCAGGTGTGGGAGGTGGAAGACAGCCTTTACCGATAGGGAGAGAAGCGTAGCGTAAGAGGATTTCGTGACACATTGTGCTAATGGGGTACTCAAAAGACCAGCGATCAAGATGAGAAAATCTCTGTCAAATCTTGAATGAAAATGGACTGCAGGGAACGAAAAGTCAAGGAAAAATTTCACTGAATGCGCCAATTTTTCATGTGGCTCGGCTTATATTCGGTTCCCGCCTTCTTATTTCTGATGCTGCGACAATCGACAAAGTGCTTGAATCACAACTGCAAATTTGAGAAAAAGTCTTCCAAAGAAGACATTGATTGGTAAAAACAAAGCAAGTTCTTATTGCAAGACTTTTTCAGTAACGAATTTCTAAGCAAAAAACTGCGTTTGTGAAACTTTGATGTTCTTGTTAGACCTTTACATTTGGCACCCTCATAAAATATAATTTTGACGAAGTGGTCAACTGATAGCCAAATTGAGTAGATCTATAGAATTTCAATGGCAAGGTTGAGAAATAGGCTTGTAATCAGATGTCAGCAAAAATCCACCAATATGAAGACGTTAACGGAAAGATGTGTCAGGAATGGGCCCTAAAATAAACAGCTGCATGAAGACATCAAATGTTGTCGTGAGATAGGACAATATTTTCTATCGATGAAATCGTCAATGTATTGAAACAGGAAAGCACAGTGGACGATATTTAAGAATGTAGTTGATGTGATGATAAGCAGACGCTATTTTGTTCATCTTTTCAAACGTTTCAAGGTGGATGTTCACAGAACGCCGTCCTTCCGTCTTTTCCGCACAATGTGCAGGCAAAACAAGATTTCTCATTGCACATTTCATATAATGAAATCTCATTTCTTAGTGTAGTTGTTACAATCTCTTTAGTGATCTCTCCATTTATGTAATGTTTCCGAAAAAACGTCTAAAAAGTTTGGAGTTTTCCTCACTACACTGAGTGATCAATTCGACTCAATCAGTTTTCAAGGTCTGAAGACCTAAAGATGTCTTCCCACAATAACCAAGGCAGATAATGCTGTATTATAGAGAAAAATAAAACAAAATTTGATGCCATTCTGACATTTTACCAGTTGGCCAATGTTATTCGTACTTTTGTTCACTGGATTGTTGCGGAGCATGCGATGGCCGAGATTTTAAATTTTGAAGAGCTCTTCAATGGCCCTACACTTCCAACAAACTGTTAGGTTCAAAAAAAAAGTTTGGAGTGCTTGTAGAAAACTGAAAATTTATGCATGAATTCCAAACAAAAGCAATAATGACTATTCTTCAGAATAAATGAATTCGCTTCCTACGACTTTCTGCCATCGGCTCGCCAAATTTCAAAGCTGGTCGGCGTACAATTTTTTCGACATCGAGTCAAAGAACTTTATACGTGCTTCTTCAGTTTCCTAGAGCGACTCAAACTTTTTGGACGTCATAAACAAGGCTTGTCTTCGAGGTCAAGATCTCCGGCATTGAGTAGCCTTGAAGGAAGCGTCCATCAGCGGATTTGCTTGTTGTGCTTTCCCCTTCAACTTCGTGTAGCTCCATTGAAAGACTCTTTCTCCAATGATGACGCAATAAAACACGAACTGCGATTATGTCGTTAGACAGGGCGGAGGCTTGTAACAAAGCCTAGGCCCATAGCGGAAAAATCCTACAAGCGAAATTGCAATGTTTCCATAATATGTATGGTAGTTATCCCATGCTTATTGAAGTTCTCCAGAATTTTTTGTGCATTTGTAGTAAAAAATGTTTTAAGAAATTATCTTTCCGCTGTAGAAGTCTCATCCCAATAGTTAACGACATAGTGTTCGAAACAGAAAGTTTTACTCATTTCCAAAGTGTGGCAAAAAGTCTCCGATTGGGAATATAGTAAATTTTGTTTCAATTATTTCGCGAATGACACATCAAAAGCACCGTCAACGCTGTATTATCATAAACCCTGTTCATGAGTTGTACAAGCTGTGACTGAAGCTGAGTAAACTATTGCATTCACTGCCGTTTCGTGTTTTGAGACTTCCTTGTCGTTTTGGTCGAATTGCCCAACAACGAACAATTTCGCTACAGTATTCTTCATGCACTTTCAATACGATTTTGATATATATCCGCGAATTTCAAGACTTTTTTTGCATGGGGTGCCATCACCTATATAATGTGTCATCTCGCTAATTGTCGAGTAAATATAGCTGGGCTTTCCTTATTCTCCTAATACGTCAAGCAGCCTCAATAAGCCCTCCTGATTGAAGAGATTGCTTGGGCATCATGTCCATCTTAGAGATTACCTGTGAATAAGTTGGGCCGTATCAGATGGCCTTCTTATAGTGTGTTAGACATTTCAAAGGATCCTCCCGGGTTACTTCTGTCGTTATCCGCTGCCACCAGAACGTCTTATGTGTCCAGCCTAAGGTCTTTTTCCAAATCCATTCCATTGTTCTTCTCATTCTCCAGTCATCGCCCATCTCGTTATAAAGACTTTCCCTCCCCTCTCCCCTCCATCAAACTTGTTTTTGATGTTGATGCATATTTTGCTCTGCTTTGAAGACAGGGCAACATTCCAAGATGTGAACTGCGAAACCAGGGCTCAATGTTGAAAGTGTTCTCAAAAAATGCAGATCTTTTGAGAAAAACTGGCTCATGTTCCCGCCACGTACGGCAGAACTGGGACTGTAGAGTCAAATAAGTAGATGTGTTAGGATAATAAGATTAGCCCAATATGTGGAGTACTGTGCAAAAACGTTTGCGTCAGCCGGGATTCGGACCCAGATCTCACTCTATCTGGGAGCGTATGCACTACCGATTGCACTACCGACTCTCGCTTTGCACAGCACTCTTTTTTACGCTCTAACGCGTTGTCTGCCAACAGCCAACCGTCGACGGTTTGGCGGGGCAGCCGCTGTCGGCATTCCCCAGTACTCCACATATTGGGTATAGTATAACATACCACTGCAAGTGGCAGTCAAAATAGACAGAATTTAGACTGATTATTGATATCCAATGTCTGTCAACACAAGTGGGTTCAATGCCGATAGCGACTGCCCCGCCAGACCGTCGACGGGGCAGACAACGTGTTGTAGCGTAAATAAGAGTGCTGTGCATAGCGAGCGTCGGTAGTGCAATGGTTAGCATACGCTCCCGGAAAGAGTGAGATCTGGGTTCGGATCCCGGCTGACGCGAACGTTTTTGCACAGTACTCCACATATTGGGTATAGTATAACATCATACCACTGCAAGTGGCAGTCAAAATAGACAGAATTTAGACTGAATAAGATTAGCCAGTGGTCTCTGACTCACGCTACTCGTTCTCTTCCATCGTGTTGTATTCCAGTTGCTATGCACACTCAGAGGAAGTTTAAGAATCATTTAAGTAATGGCCTACCCAGTTGGTGATCCTTCTATTTCAATCCATTCTCCTTACACCAAGCTTCTTTTATAACTGTGTTTTGACATGACATTACTTATAAACTTCTACAATCTTTGAAGGTGATTGAAAGTAATCCATGCACTCACGTGTCCGTCTTTTTTTTGCAAGTTTGGCTTTGTCCAGTTTCAAGATGAGTTTCAGAATAACTTCCATGGTGATATTACACGACACGCTCAATGTGCTGATCAGCTGCTGCTTATTTGCGTCGATCGTTATGCCACCATTTACAAATGGCAGTACATGAGCTTCGCACAATTTACGAATGCTCTTGTGTTCTATGGTTTTCGTTGACTACATTCATAAGAAAATTCTCTCAATGAAGCCCAAAAGAGAGAAGAACTGCTAATCACTTTAGGTTGAACGGTAAACAACCACAGGTCATCATAGGAAGCACAAATACATTTTGTCGCCTTGACAGAGTCACATGCATGACAGTAATCCTGAGATGAACAAACAACGCTCACAATTTTCATCGAGCTATCTACGCATTATGGAATTTGACTTATTTTATCACAATCAACTAGCACTGTCTTCTTCTCTTCGAAATATGAACCAATTTGGAGTTAGTTCCTGTATTACAAAACCTTCTTTTCAACAGTATTTAATGATAAGCCTCCCGCTCACTCACGGTGGCCTCCCGCTGTATCAAGTCAGTGCTGCTTCTCCTTCCAGACAAGTCCGAGATCGTTTGGTTACCTGTTCCACTCAAGAGGAGCTAGATTATTGTTTTGGAAAACTCCTTTACATACATTGGCTGCTGTTCGGAACATGTTTCTCTACTAGCGCCTTCTTCGTCTGTGAGGGATGAGAAGAAAGGTAGTGAAGCAGGATATTCTTGTTACTTGGCTTTCGGTATCACTTTGTTATGTAGCCGCTCTCAGTCAAGCTTATTTGCACGTTCAAGAATTGGAGCCAATCGTCTTTCGGTACCTCTCGGGTGAATTTTATACACTCCGACTGTTCATTCAACAATCCAAAACAATTATCTAGCTACTCTTGAGTGGAACAGATAACCAAACACTCATCTATATACCTACAGTAGAGTAATGGTCGGAGATCCATCACTGGTTCTTTCACTTTGAACATGAAGGCAATCGCCAGGCTAGGTGCCAGTCGCTAGCCCATTACTAGCCTTCTGATTTGTGCGAGATAATTCCCGGACCACCTGAAGATTGAGCAGTTCAGGCACTCTTTTAATTTGACCTTGAACTGCTCAATCTACAAGCCATACTTGTTCACAGCTTCCTGGTGTTGCACCAGAAGCTCATGTGGGGCTTGCAATGCGGAGTCATTCGACACGTTGGTATATAAAGCAGTGACTTCGCATGACTTCATTACGTACGCGTTGTTCGGGTCAGCGTTATGTAGACGATCTAGGAACATCTGAATGTTCGTCCGATGGGCTGCAATATGTCTTAGCAACTGGGATGTTATTAAAGTTAATGTTAAGTTAAAGTCAGTGCGTACGTAATGGAGCCATGCGACGTCACTGCTTTAAACACCAACGTATCGAATGACTCCGCATTGCAAGCCACACATGAGCTTCTGGTACAACACCAGGGAGCTGTAAACATGTATGGCTTGTCGATTGAGCAGTTCATGGTCCTATCAAAAGAGTGCCTGAACTGCTCATTCTTTAGATGGTCCGGGAATTACTTCGCACAAATCAGGAGGCTGGTATTGGGCCAGCGACTGGCACCTAGCCTGATGATTGCCTTTATGTCTAAAGTGGAAGAATCAGTGATGGATCTCCGACCATTACTCTACTATAGGTATATAGATGAGTGTTTGGTTATCTGTTCCACTCAAGAGGAGCTAAATAATTGTTTTGGATTGCTGAATGAACAGTCAGAGTGTATAAAATTCACCCGTGAGGTACCGAAAGACGATTGGCTCCCATTCTTGAACGTGCAAATAAGCTTGACTGAGAGCGGCTACATAACAGAGTGCTACCGAAAGCCAAGTAATAAGAATATCCTGCTTCACAATCTCTCTTCTCATCCCTCACATACGAAGAAGGCGCTAGTAAAAAAACATGTTTCGAACAGCAGCCAATGTATGTACCAGGGAGGAGCAAAGAGTAGAATCCGTGAAACTGGCTCGGAAAATAGCCACTTCTAATGGATACGAATTTCTAACCCCTCGGCTTAGATTTAGTGGAAATAATGCGTTTCCAAACGAAAACTCGAATGAAAGAAAAGTCCCGTTTATCCGCCCGTTCTTTTCAAATGAGATAAGTATAGCTATAAAACGCTGTTTGAAAAGAGCGGGTTTAGAGCAATTGGTGGCCATTTTAGAAGTACTACCGAATACTCTAAAACGCGAACTAGTTCGCAACCGCTTATATGACCGTAACTTATATGCTTATATGGCTCTGCATAATGAAAGATTGTAAAATATATCCTAACGGCAGAGGCGGTGATTGCATGAGCGTAGATACAGTCTACCTAATTTCTTGCAAAGCGTGTAGCGATAAATATATTGGCGAAACGGGTAGGCCGCTCTATACCCGCATAGAAGAACACCTAGCTGACAAGCGTCCTAATAGACGGAACACCCCGCTAAGGACTCATAGAGCATAGAAGCACGACGGAGTTGATTTTGAAATCAAAGTCACCATCTTTGCCAAGGAGGAAAGAAAATCAGAGCGAAAGATCTTGGAAACGTTTTGGAGTAGTACAGCCAATCCAACCATAAACTGCAACAGGAATGCCTCGTTATCACTCATGATTTAAGTCAGTATATAAGACTGTTGTTTTGCTGGGTAGGGTGCATTACTAGCCTATGTGATCTCCTTCCGGTAATCTCCACTTGAATCATTTAGTGGAACACATATAAAAAGCGGTGAGTATGTTGAGAGTTGATTTTGTGCTTAATGCGATTAAAATCTAGGTCTGGTGATTTTTTCTAAAGGAGTAATGGAGGTGCTTGATTGACCGGATTGCAGACAATTTGACTTTTCCAGGCTCTGAAGAAGGCGAACTGCCGAAACGTCAGCTGTGAATAAACTTCAATGTACCAACTCGTGTTTGGCTAGATATACATCCAATCACCTGGAAACGAAGCTTAAAATTCATGACAAACGCATGGCGCATCCTTCAAAGATTGATCACGCCGAAAGATTTACACTTATGGGGCTCTTGAATTCTTTCCTGTTGGAGTAATGGAGGCGTTTGATTGACTGAGCTCTAGTCAACCTAATCTTTTCAAGCTCTAAACGCCGATAAGACAGCTGTCGAAATAAAGTCCATCATTAGAGCCTCACGTATAGCTCAGAAAGAGGAACTTGATAACCTCAGATTTCTGCTGTCTATGGAAATTTTGATGTGACAACGAAATCTAGATGGTTTTGAACAGTAGCGGCCAAAATTTGAGCCCTTACAGCTCAAATCTTCCTAATGTCCAAGATTTTAAACTTTTTACTGCCTTTTTCACAGTATGATGTTGTTTTATGCATACCTAAAAGAATCGATTGGAGAGCATAATCACTACCTCTGACAGAAGTCGAACCCGCGTTTCATCCATACCTGGCACGCGTACTATCACTACACCATCGAGGTGCAATAGCGCTACCACTCATTCTTTATGATCTCTATGGCAGCTATCAGCCACCAACCTTTAACAGGTTTGGTCGGATATGCGACTTTCGCTTGACAAACCCAGTTTAACTTACAGCCATTGTGATTGAATCATCAAGATGCTGATAGCTTTCATGAAGCAGTCCGTGGTCGCCAGTCGCATCCTATCCGGCAGTTAAGCGATTCACTTCAGCTCGGATTTGATTTGTCTTCGTGGTTAGCGACAATACTAGAATATTGATAAACCAATCTAATTTTTAAGGGAGGTAGTTTCCTTTTCTAATGGAAAAAAATCTACAGCACAAACAATTCTGATTGCCAATCATAGAATATCAAAAAAGGAGAGAATATTCGGCCGTAGGAAAAGTCTCATTTTGAATTCATACGGAAACGATTAACTGTTAAAGAAATTTTGTTCAGAAACTCTGCAGAATATTGTCTGGGAAGTATTCTTAGTAATTGACAACAAAATAAGGATATATGCAGTTATGTTGAGTGATGTGCAAATCTTCTGCCTCAGGCGGAACTCGAACCGGTATTTCGCCGTATCCAAGGGTGTTGTCTGACCCATTGTGCTAGTGACGCCTGCTTTGCCAGCACTCTTTCTTATTTGAAAAAAGAAGGATAATTGGATCGGATTAAGAAAGAATAACATGGCTGATGCATCAAACTTGAAACAGAATGAAGATTTCCTTCCTCAAGCAAAACACGAGGTGTTACAATAACCTTTATTCGACGGCTGACGTTTCAGTAGTTCGCCTTCTTCAGAGCCTGGAAAGGTCAAAATGTCCGCAATCCAATCAGTCAAACACC